CTTGCGCCAGAATGTTGCATTTTCCTTGTTCAACAACGTCAGATATTTGTCACAAATCTCACCCAGGATTGCAAAGGTGCTCCTCTTGATACGATTTTGCTGAGGAGAGAGGCAACCATTCCGCTTGTCATCTGGAAGGTGGGACATACCGGAGAAGTGCATGAATACAACCGGCTGCAGATCATACCAAACAGTGCCGTTCTCCATGCGAAGATGAGCCCCTCTGTAATGCAGGTTCCAATCTGCAATGTTGTAGCGAGGATCTCTTAGCACAAGATACTCCTCCTGCTGTAAGTACGACAAAAAGTAGTGACCCCAAGCCTGATCGAAGTACTCTCCTTTCTGTACCTCAGCATGGCCGTAGTGGCGCAAACGGTCAAGCCACCAGCCGAGAATGTCATCAGTTGGCCCACCCTTCGACGCTGCAAGGATGCCGAAGTTGAATTGCCCTTTCAGCAGGAGGTCGCGTTCGTCTTGCCTGAGTCCATCTACGGGCACCGGCTGCGTTATGTACGGAGTGACGACAAATCGGTACCGGTCCAGTGCCTCAACGACCGCTGTAAGCGGCTGCATGAGCCAAATATCGTTGTCCAGGTAGAGCACTTTTCGACACCTCTGCACATGAAATAGATGCTTGAAGGCAGCAGGCTTTATAGCAGTGTTGAAGCATTGCATCGGGTAGCGAAATGCAATTTCTGCGTAGCTGAAAGGCATCTGTGGCTGAAGTTGATCTAGGGTGACCAAGTGCCACCTGCTTGGGAAGTCCCGCAAAATCTGCAAATGCAGTTGTTCGAGCTTGCGGTGCGGCGCAGTGGCCCATTCAAGCGGCCGGTGGTTATCTCCCACAACCCAAAAGAAATCCATCTTGGGATGTAGTGCTTCAGCCCGCTTCAAAAAAGCGCGGACAAATCCGTAGTTGTTGAATGCCGAGACTGTGAAGAGGCAAACTCGCTCACCGGCCTCAGCCTCAGGATCTGCCACGGGCTGGAGCCGGAGCCGGAGCTGGCGCCAAGTGGAGAAATGCCACAGCACAGCAGTCACCGCAAGCATGTACAGGGCAACCGCCAAGTTCCTGAACCTCATGGCTAACAGTATGAAGAGCAGGCTCGACCTAAATTTGAACAAAATGGCCTCTGCAAGCAATGCTTCAAGCTCGTGAGAGGAAAGTGCTTACTAGGACACCGGATACCACGTGAGGCAATGCTCTACACACGATCGCAGCCTGTGCTTGGGGAGGCCAAGCGTACCCGGAGGCCCAGTACAAGTCATGTTTTTTGCTCTGCATTGCTCTGTTTTGCTCTGCTCTGCAGGGCATGAGTCAACATGAGGCTTGAACCCGATCTTGAGGGGCTTTGTGACGCCATCTTGGGATTTGACTTCCCCTCTTTTGCTATGCCTCGTCCAATATCCCTGAAACTACAGATGCTGCTGCGCAGGACCTGGGCACCAGGTACACTTGCGACATGTCAACCCAAGAAAAAACGCCAGTGACACTGCCACCCCGGCCACCCCCATCTGTCCTTTCCAAGCTTGAATGAAAGGTTCGGGAGGAACCTGTGACCAGGCCGCTGAGGAAGAGCGCAGGCCGCTTTCCTTCTCCTTCTCCTTGGCAATCAAAAAGCCCACAGCTCGTAAAAGTCTGCTATGTAAGTCTATATATAGCGCTGAAGATAAACCCGACAAACACACAAACTGACACGTCTTCTGTTGGCCGTGAAAGTTGCACCTGGGCACTCCAGAGCATCGCTGAGACACGCCTTATAGGTCAGGTTGAAGTCCGTCTGCCAGGCTTGGCACACTTCTCGATACCGCGTGTAAAGCAATTTTCGTGACACGCACTGCATGGGCCTGAAGCCAGAGATTTCGTACAACCCGTGTGTCTCCGTGACGTTGCTGACAGTGGTTCCACCCCTCAGCTCGGCCCGAAACTGCGAGTTTGTTCTCATTGTCGCGAGTTGAGCATCGAAGCCACTCACAGGCACGTTGACAAAGGCGGCGAGCTTGGCTAAGAATGACCACTTAGAGAGGTCCTCCGACTTCATCACAAGGAAACGAGGACCGAGCTGCTCTGCTAGAGACCGTAAGTCTCCAGCAGAGGTTTCAACATACTTGTTCAAGCCCCGCAGCTTCCCACCGGATAGAACGATCTCGTGGAAATGCTCGGGGCTGCGGTAGTGAAACTCCATCTCTGTGTGAGATCCGGGATGGCTGGCATCTGCCTCAGTGCTGAAATAGTTGTAAGCTGCCCACAGCCAATCCTGAGTTCTCCAGAGATCAAGCCCAGTAACCTGAACCTTCCATCCCTGACATCACGAAGACCTGTTTGAAGCCCGACCATACCGAGTATCGGCAGGGTCCCGCAACAGCTTGATGACCTTCACCTGTCTACCAAGAACCTGAAACGAAGGCTGCTGCGGTATTTTCGCAGTGTGCACAAGCACAGCCTCTGACCCTGGATCGGCACTCTTAGCGCTCTGAAACATCTGTTGGCAGACATCTTGCCTTAGCCGCTCACTTCACCGGCAAGCAAGAACTTCTTCGTTTCGACTGGAGGCACACAGCAGGGGAAAAGAACTCTATGCCAGTTTGATTGACAAGTTGCTTCATGGGGAACATTTTCGCACAGCTACGCAACATTGCTTTTTTTTGTCCGTGAGCTGAGCAAGCTACGCGGCGAAGATGCAGCAACATCTCTGACCATTCCAGCCATGGCATCTGGGCCACTCCATCTTTTGTCAAGGATACAATACGAGGATGTGAAGCAAGGATGCTGTTCAGATGAGATGTGCCGCACTTGCCGTAGCCACCCACAAGCACCATCTCATGATCGCAGCCGCAGCATAGCGGAGCAGCTACCACCAAAGAAAGCAGCAGAAGCTGCTGGCCAATGGCACCGCAACGGCACATGGCGTCAATTACGTATTCAACTAGCGGGCGTGCAACATAGCAAGCAATGAGACCGTGTCGAAACACTCGCTGTTGTCTACTCATAGCACCGCAATGCTAAGCTGGCTCACGACGCCGTGCATGATGAAGCAAGCATTTTCGATGCCTCCAGAAAAAACCAATGTGCTGCAGCAGAATGGCATTGATACAGGCCCAGGGGCCCATACTGGGTGCAGTCTGCCCTTGGCAATGCGTGGATCGAATGACACACAGCGCACAAGGCGCGTATCATTCAACGATATGCAAACAAAGCCAGCAGGGAAGCCGGTCAACGGTGAGGAAGCTTCGACTGCTAAGCGACGTGAATGCTTCTTGATTTGCTTGTTTTAACTTTGCGGCCGTCAGTGGTCAACGCGTTGTTTAGCTGGTTGTCCTATTTGGTTTTGGTGATGCTGACTGTGCCGCTGCTGCTGCGGCGGCGGCCTCAGCTGCTGTGGCTACATCGTCGTGATCTAACAATCGCCCCTCCTCATTTTGGAGGAACACTGAGTCTTTGGAATGCCCGTGCATGAGCCACTTCGGTGATTTGTCAGCTGAAAACCTGGAAAGGCCGGCACGAAGCTGAAACTTCTGAAACTTCCTTGCCGCTCAGGCCGTGCACTGAATGCTCTGTATTGGAGCCGCGGCCTTGTAACCCGGGGTTGGGGCCAATTGGGTATGGGAGCTGCGGGGGTGAGCCTTACTGCAAAGGGGAGGGGCCGCGAGGGGGAGGGGTGAAACACTGAATGCTACACAT